TGTTAATTATGAATTCTAAAACTAGAAGTTGGCATCCATACGGTATGGTATGGAGAATACTGGACTGAAAGCAGGGTAGAGCTGAGTTCGAGTCAGGTGTCTGTTACTAAATAGTGGTTCTGGATTTATGTTTTCTTATGTGAATGTGAAGGTTCCTACCTAGGTGATTTCTAAGTAGCCTTAAAGTTCTGCTACTCTATAACTCTACTAAATTCTTATGTCATTTTTGGTAAAAGCATTTCATAGCTTCATATCAAAAAAAGCACACAGTATTTGAGGGATGATAGCTATAATTGTTTTCATAACTAGAACATAAGTCCCTGACTGTGGCAGACAGACTAGTAGATCATGCTTGTCAACCAGGTCTATATAGCAGAATCATTTGTGAAGCATTCTTGTGCTGGAAACTCTTACTCAGTAAATCTGATAGTGCAGCTGAGCGGGTGTAGTTTAAATATCTCTCTTGGTGATTTTGATAACTATCTCTGGGTAAGAACCACTGTTCCAGATTCTCATTTGATAAAATGTTTCTTGAGTTTAGGTTGCAGACAAAGACCTACAAAGGAAACATATACAAGGTTTTAATTTATCTCAAAAAAGATCATTTCTTTCCTAGTCATTTTTGGATAAACTCAGTCTCTCTTATTTGTAACTTCCACTGGACCAGAGCTTACAGACCTTAAAGATTTTAACCCTTTTTAGATTGAATCTGTGGCAATAAAAGATCACGTAATAGAAACTCAGTTGGCTTTGAAATGGAATATGTATAAAGAAAGACAAACACACATACATATTTTAAGTTATATATATACATGTTATATATATAATTATAACATGTATATATGCATAAGTATATGTTTAATCTCTGACATTTTCTGTTTCCTCCTCCAAATCCTCTTGCCATCCTTTTCACCATTTTCTACCCTGCTCTCTGCTCTAGGAGACTGACCTGAGTGAATATAACAGTCTCCATGCCCTCTGGCCAATGGGTAGCCCTGGTAGGACATCATAGGAAAGGAAAATAATGAATTCAGTGTATTTATGTTCCTAGACCATTCTCAGCAAGGTCATCTTCAGCTGGCTGTGTCCCTTGACCAAGTCTCCAAATGGTACACTCTTTATGGCACTCTTCGCTTTCAAGTTCCGATAATTTCTCCCTTCCCCTTATCCCTTAATGGATGGTCACAGGTCTGATGTGACCGGCTCCAGTTTGTCATACTAGTTCTTGTGGCTTTTCTGCATTTACACTTTATAAATAGACCCTTGTAAATAAACCTTCCTGGGATTATCTTATTTGAACATGCTATCTATTTTATTTAACTCTGTTAAAAACAGTATACCTCAGCAGCTGAGGAAGAATGTGGTAAAAGTTGGGTTGAAATCGAGGTGGTAGTAAATTTGAGAAAAAGAAATGTTGGTCTGACCTATCATAGGGAAACAAAGTGAGGAAAAGTGGATTTTAACTGAATACAAACACCAAGTCACAGAGCTGAAGCTGTTGGTGTTTCTTTTCATGCTCCAGAGACACCTGATCCGTAATATTCCATTCATCTGGGGGCAGCTCATTAACAGAAAAATATAGCCGAGCTGGAAGGAGTTCATAGAGGAGGAAGAAAATGATAAAAAGCACTGGAGGACTGACATATGAAGAGATTAAAAAGATGAAATCACTCTGCTTTAGCTAAGTGGTGACCAAGGGGAGACATGTCAACTGTCTACAGTTATGTGAAGGTTATAAACTCCAAAACAAAGATGGTGATTGCTACAAATCAAGGGTGTAGTGCTCTGACCGTAGAGAAATACATTAAAAAGGGAAAAGTTTAGATAAAATTAACAGGACCATTTTCTAATGTAGAACTATATTATATCTCATAAATCTTAATGTTACATACTAAAGCTTTTGTAAAAGACAAAAATGAAACAAATTACAAATACTTAATATTATATATATAAACACACATATATATGGATTCTCCATTATCTATTTATCTTCTATCTATTGATATGTGTTAGAAATCAGTCCTTCACAAACATATGTAGGAATAAAAATGATTGCCACTATTACTATAAGTTTTGTGTTAGACATTTAATGAGCATCTTATTTAATTTTTAACATTGCATTCTTACCATTAAGGAAATTGAGGGTTAGAATCTTTGAGCAACATTCTAAAGGTGACCCAACTAGTAAGCAGCAGAGCAAAGATACAGAGTAAGGGGTCTTCACCTCCATTACTCTGCTTATAACCACTGGATAGTTAAAATGCTTTAGTACATTATTATATGTCAAATTTTCATTATTCTATTATTTACATGGCTATGTGGATTATTTCACTAATTCTATGAAATATTTTGTTAATAATTTCATTGAATATATAACAATATATTTCAGGTGTCTTGAATTGTGGCTGCTCATGGTGATCATGTTTGCAAGGCATAGCCATTTCCACAGCTATTTCCCATTCTTGAACAATCCATGTGATCATCACCCATTCTAATTATGCGGATGAGATAAAGCCCAAATGATTTCATTTCCTTATCCTCTTAGCCACTACTCATTTTAAATTTTGGAAAATAATTTCCCTATCCACTATTTTATGCAATTCACGTTATACAGTAAGTTAAAACATATATATGAAAAAATATGCCATCGGGCTCTTTTTAAATTATTTTTTTTCCTTTTTATTTAAGTATATTATGAGGGAACAGATGTTTAGGTTGTGTATATTATCTTAAAAAGATTAATATTTTATATTTTTTCAATTTAATTTATAGATTGTGAAAGAAAACCATGTTCATGTCTAAAGAGGACTATAAGGTGAAATGAGTAAGAGCCCCTTTCTCCCAGAACCTTTAACCTCTGTGGTTAGAGGTAACACTGCTAACATTTTCTTTCAGACCTTTCCAGGAATTTTCTATGCACATATCTGTGTACATTTTCTTTTTTTCACTTAGCCATTTATCTGTTTTATCTTTCCATATCAGCACATAAAGTGCTACTTGATCTTTTCTAATGACTGCACAAATATGAGTGTAACATTATCCAGTTCCCTGTTGTTGGACATTTAGATAGGTTTCTAGAAATTTTTTAAATAAATAATTACATTATGAACATGTATCTAAATTTATCTTTGCATATTTTTCCATACTGATAGGGCAAATTTCTAGCTGGGGCATTTCTGGGTCAAATCATGTGTCTTTTTAAAATTTTTGTAGGTTTTTACCAAATTGTCACCTCCAATGTAGACTTTATATTAACAAAAAAACATGTGAGAGATGATGAGCATTTTTTCATATGTTTGTTGGCCATTCTTCATCATCTCTAATCATCAGGGAAATGCAAATCAAAACTACAATGAGATATCACTTAACTCCAGTGAGAATGGCCTTTATCAAAAAGTCTCCAAATAACAAATGCTGGCGTGGATGTGGAGAGAGAGGAACACTCCTACACTGCTGGTGGGACTGCAAACTAGTCCAACCTCTGTGGAAAGCAATATAGAGATACCTTAAAGCGATACAAGTGAATCTACCATTTGATCCAGCAATCCCATTGCTGGGCATCTACCCAAAAGATCCAATGACACTCTACAAAAAAGACACCTGCACTCGAATGTTTATAGCAGCACAATTCATAATTGCAAGGCTGTGGAAACCGCCCAAGTGTCCATCAATCCAAGAATGGATTAATAAAATGTGGTATATGTATACCATGGATTACTATTCAGCTCCAAGAAACAATGGTGATATAGCACATCTTATATTTTCCTGGTTAGAGCTGGAACCCATACTACTAAGTGAAGTATCCCAAGAATGGAAAAACAAGCACCACATATACTCACCAGCAAACTTGTATTAGCTGAGTAGCACCTAAGTGGACACATAGGTACTACAGTAACAGGGTATTGGGGAGGGGGCAGGGGAGAAGGGGACGGGCATATACATACATAATGAGTGAGATGTGCACCATCTGAGGGATGGTCATGCTGGAGAATCAGACTTGTGGGGGGAGGGGGGAAAGGGCATTTATTGAAACCTTAAAATCTGTACACCCATAATATGCCGAAATAAAAAAAAAAAAAAAAACATGTGAGAGACTAAACAGGTTGTTTACACTTTAAGACTCACATCAAATTCCAAGATGTCGTGGAATCAACTTCTGCTCTGTGAACATAAAATGGCAATTTGCAAAAGATGAGCATTTTATTCTACATAAATATTTTACTCTTCAGCCGGGTTTACATTTATTCACCTATATTTTCAAGTTAATGACATATGACTGGTCTGTTTTCCCCACGGCTTAATTAAAAAAATTTACTAATACTTGAAATAATGGATTTGATTAATTCTTTGTTCTACTCCTTGACTCAGGCTGTTTATTCCACTTGGAAAATTCATCTCACACCAACCTCGCTTATCTAAATTCTACCTACTCTTCATGGTTTATTTCAAATTATACCCTTTCCATCTAAATGATGTTTCCTTCCTCAGAACTTTCAGTGCCTCTATTTAACCCTTTGTAGTAAACATTTTACATTTATAAGTCCCTGAAAATGGTAGCTATCATTATTAGTTGGCTCTGGATCTCTCTAGTTCTATAAATGTTCTTATCCTTGTATGTCTGCACTTGCCTCCTCTATGGATTGATTTAGTTCAAACTACGTATTCAATATTGTGATACTACTTTTATTATTTTTTTAAATGTTCTAAGTTTTAAGTTTTAATATCAACTGGTAAAATAATATTTTTATCCTAAAGTTCCATAATTCTTAATACAGCAGAAAATGATTTTAAAATGTCTGTTTAAAACTCAATTCATAAACAAATGCAACTTTAAAAACTGAGCGTTAAATCTGAACCATACTGGCAAGGGTAGCCTGGATGCTATCATATTAAAGGCCTTTGGAGGCAGGCTAGCATAGTTTACACGCCGTTGGACCTATTTATAGCGCTGACTCCTTTTTGCAATGTCAACTGTAACGTTATACTTATTTTAAGCCTCAGTATCTCAAATATCAGCCTCTACTAGTTGTACAGTTCTCCCTTATTTGTTATCAGAGAGCCCAATGGAGCCTTCTGAAGTACCTAGTCAGATTAGCAAAGATAATTTTTTAGAAGTTCCTAATTTATCTGATTCGCTTTGTGAAGATGAAGAAGTTAAAATTACCTTCAAACCTGGTTTCTCCCCTCAGCCAAGTAGACGAGGTTCTGATTCTTCTGAAGACATGTACCTGGACACCCCAACTTCAGGTACTAGAAGAGTTTCATTTGCTGACAACTTTGGATTCAAGCTTGTGTCTGTTAAAGAATTTGATTGCTGGGACTTACCAAGTGTTTCAACTAATTTTGACTTAAGGAAGGACATTGAGGAATATGTTTTATCTCCACTATTTGACTTGCCTTCAAAAGAAGATCTTATGCAACAACTTCAAGTACAGAAAGCGATACTGGAGTCAGCTGAATGTCTTCCTGGGTCTACAAGCATGAAGGGTATTATTCGAGTTTTGAATGTTTCTTTTGAGAAATTAGTGTATGTGAGAATGTCCTTAGATGACTGGCAGACACATTATGACATTTTGGCAGAATATGTTCCTAATTCTTGTGATGGTGAAACTGACCAGTTCTCCTTTAAGATTTCACTGGTTCCTCCTTATCAAAAAGATGTCAGTAAAGTTGAATTTTGCATACGTTATGAAACTTCTGTGGGTACATTTTGGTCAAACAATAATGGCACAAATTATATATTGGTTTGTCAAAAGAAAGAACAAAAACCGGAGCCTGTAAAACCATGGGAAGAAGTTCCTAATAGACAAATAAAAGGCTGCTTAAAAGTAAAATCAAGGTGAGACTATATCTTACGTTCTTTCCTACTCATAATCTTAAATTTTTAAATGTTATTCTTTATTTCATGTGTTGTAAGGAATAGTCATTCTATGTAAAAACATAATGCTTGCTATGTAAAAAACAATGGTGCCATGCTTTAACAAGCTCGATGCTATTCAAATAATAACACTGTATTATCTCTTCTCCAAATGTGAAAAATAAATATGGGTACAATGCAATCGATTTAAGAAGGGTAGTGCAATGTATATATTATTACATACTTGCCTAAAGAGTTATAAATTACTTATGGTCAAACCATGAAATCTAGATTCCTCACATATACAAACCGTTTACTTTGACTTTGAAAGTATTATTTATTTTCAGTGGTTTTTAAATGTGTTTGCTCTACTTTGAAACAGTTTTGATTAACATAAAACTGTATTTCAATAAATAGTGCTCAGAAATTTGTAGACTTTCCCCAAAAGCTGCAAAAAACTTCTTAATGACTGATTGAGTCAAAGAGGGATGTTTGAAGTGATACATGTTATGGTCAATCATAAGAGATATGATTTTAATGATAAACTAACAGAAGGACATAAATATATTAGTAATATGTAAATTACACATAAAATTTCATAATTCTAACAAAATGTAACATTATGGAACACAAATCAGTATATTTTAGTAAGTAAATGGAGCAGAATAGAAAATGACCCAAATATAAATAAGTATATTCAGCTATATAGATTAGAGATTTGGGATGTGACCCCTCATTAGTAACCCTGCTCTCCTGTTAATGTGAAAAATAAAGAAAACTGGCATTCAGCTCTCTCTGTAGTGCATAGCTGGCTAATTTCCATGACACTAGGTTAGTAGATAAAACATTCAGGAGGAGTTAGACTCCTTCTGTGCCTCACAAAGTCCCCATGGGAAAGTCCACATTGCTCCACCAGCCACAGGCAAGTGTTTGATTGTCCTCTGAGTGCTCCATTCTAACTGTCCCTAAACCCAAAGATTTTAGTAACTGCACCAGAAATGTAATATGATGAAAAAGGAATTGTATTAGGAATCAAGACACCCTGATTCTAATTCTCTAAATGGAATTTAATAAAAAAATAAGGTATGATATTGGAAAATTTTAAATCTCTTTATGCTTTAATAGATAAAGCAATAAGTAATACTGCCAAATGTTTAGTTCCAATGCATTCACAAACTAAATGTAGTACAGGTGAAAGCAATTGAAACATATGAAATATTTTTATTTTAATTTTCTTTTAAAATTATTTGAAAGATTGGTTGAATCAAATTTGTGAATTATGCCAACTTTTTTACTCTAAATCAAAGTTTGTTAGATTTTAACTGGTGCTATTATGAGAGATAATATAATTACAGTATCTAAATATGCTAAAATAATAATTTGATGCTTATGAAAATACTAACAAATTAGCTATACAAATAAAATAAGTTCAACATTATTTAGCAAATTAATTTATATACATAAATAAATATATATAATAAATACTTTACAAATGAGATAATCATCAGTGACTACCCATTAAACATGCTACAACCTGCTGTATATGTTATAGGAAACAGAACCTAGGAAAGGCACAGCTCATTAAAGAAGCAGTGTTGAACTCAGTGGATTTTTCTGCAAGTTAAAGGTGCAGCATTAAAATCATAAGCAACCCATGCTGAACTATGGTTTAGATAAGGGATTACTTTGCTAGAACAAACTTGACTTGATACCAAGACAATGACTGGACAACTGATAAGCCTAATCTTCTACCTCAGTCATGATATTTTTGGAACTTCTCCTAGTTGAAGATGTATATAACTATATATATCCACACACACATTTATATTCAGAACAGTAATCATTGGATTCATAGCGGACACCATTCAAGTTTTAATATTGCTTTGGGGAAAAACCTGAGGAGAACTAAATCACAAAATGGTCTAAAGGCCTGTAAAGTTTCCTAATGAGTTATAAAAATGGAAAAAATCTCTCTCCTTCAAAACCACAAATACATTTTCTGCACTTCTATAACTTAAAAATGACCAACATAATTCAAACCACATTTTGAAAAAAGCATTTGCCTCTGGAGAAGGCTTTTTGTGCTGAGTTTCAGTCCAACATGAATTTTTACATCTGATTTATATACCACTCAAAATGGAGTGTATAAAGGAAATCCTGACAGATCCTTAGAACAGCATGTGCCATAATAGAATATTTATACAGCTTTTCCATGATATAATTTATATGCAATGGGGTTTCAAATATTCCTAAAACTCACACAAGAGAGCATTATCAAATTTCTAAATGAATATTGCAGTTGGATTTTATTGTAAAGAATTTGGTTAGAAAAAAATAGCACACCTTATTAGTGTTATTTTACAAAATGTGTAGTTGGCTAAAACAAAAATGAACTAATACTTATTTGATCAAAAAATTATAGCTTCTAAAATATCCTTCTCCCTCCAAATAGTTACAGATTCTAAATAGGTCTTTTTTGAGCATTTCGACACTTCCTGTGTAGCTTTATTTGGAGACTATTTCTTTCAAAAGATAAAAACAAGAGATAAAAAAATGTATATCAATTTTTGCTTCATACATGCAAGTAGATTAATAATAGTGTGTAATAAGTCAGAGTTAAAATGAAAATTAGGCAGCCCTACTATAGAGAGTAACATCTAACTTCAATTCCTCTTAATACCAAAGTTAATTTACTATCAGGGTCCCTGAGATTACATCTTCTGAAAGTGTCAATAATCCTTTCTAATAAGTATAGAATGAACTGTGGGAACACATTCAGGTAGGATTTCTTATATGTCAATCACCCGCCCAGGCATTATGTTTTCTCTATGGAGATTTTTCTCTGGTTAGAGTTTGCAAATCTCCACATTGGTGTGGGTTGTCTATTTTCTTTTGATGCTTAATAGTCTATCCACTTTGGACAGAAAGAAATATCTAGAGGGAGAGGAAAGCAGAGTTTGTAACTCATAGGCATGTGACTGGGAGTGACCCAAAGTTATTTAATTGCACTGAAAGGCATGTGTCACGAGACACCTGTTAAGTGCCACTATATATCCAGCACTGGAGTATGTGCTAGCAAACAAACTAAGCAGATTTCTGATCTGTATCCCATGAGATTTATTTAAAAATCAGCAACAAAAAATGATATATAAATCACATTAAATAAACATAGATAAGTAAGATAAAAATAGCATGCAGAGACATTATAACCTCAAAGTTAAAGTTACGGGTTTCAGAGTTAAACATATTGTCTGAGTTTGAGTCCAAGCTCCACCGCATCTTAGCTGCGTGAACTTAAGTGAGTTAAGCTTGGTTTCTTCATCTGTTAATTGAGAAAAGCAGTACCTCTATCTCATAAAGATTGCTTGAGATTTCCATGAGGTAATACATATAAACTTTTAGCATAGTGTCTGGCACATAATAAGTTACCAGGAAATAACTGCTATAATGACAATAATAATTCTAGGTTTAGGTGTATCTGAAAACACTAGCAAAACTCAAGGTGCACCAAAGGTTCCTCTCCTTTTTCCTCTTAGAGTTCCTAAATTTTCAGCTTTGGAGAGCCATTCCTTTGTCTCTTGCAGGATTTTATTCAACAAGAAAAACTAGTTGGACTGTAAATTTTCTTGAGATATGTGTCAACTTATATCTATAACATCTTAAAGCTGGAAGATAACTTAGTGATTGTTAAAATTTCAACATTTAATAGATGAAAAAAATGAAGAACCAGCCTGAAGGTGGTAAAAAAAAAAAAAAACAGGCATTCATTTTGGTATTGAACAGAGCATGCATTTTAATCCCTGTAAAATATATGCTTAATAGCTATGTGGCTGTGGGCACATTATTTTACTTCTTTACCTGTCAAACAGGGGTTATGATGCCTGATATTGTGGTGATTAAAGTAAAATGAGATCATGTCTTTAAAGCTTCTAGTAAAACATTGGATACTTATAAAGTTATCATCAAAAGCTAAGTATTATAATTGTCATTATTATTGTCAAATTGTGTTCGGCTAACTAATTTCCTGATTCTTGGACTTGCATTGCTTTTCCAGACATCATCAGTTTCCTTATTCAGTTTCCAAAACTCATTCAGCAAATGTTTATTGAGAGCCTGTGTGTCAGATCCTGTGTTATTAGGCAGCCATATCCAACTGAGACACGTGGCTGGAGTCAGGAGCCTGTGAAGAAATGAAGAGGTCCCATGGGAAATGGGAAAAGGCTTCACAGGGCAGAAAGAAGACAGTGGGAGAAATAAAACACCAAAACAAAGCCCAGATTTTCTGGGTAGACAATGGAAGCCACAGATAAAAAATGAAATAGGAGCAATTTACATTTTAGGTTTTCTAGAATATCTGATCTATAACTGGCACTGCATACTGGCCAGAGGAGTGGCCTTCTCAGAACCTTCTGTTTTTTTCTCCCCTCCCGCCTGCTAAATGTATGTTCCCAACGCTTGGGTACATAGGTTGATTGTGCCTGGTTTTGAATTTTATTAAGTGAAACCGATTTATTATTTTAAGGAAAGAAAATGCATGATGTAGGCATTCGATGGTATTTATAACGTGGCCAGGTGAATGCAAATAAAGCCCTCAGTGACTTTAATGCCAAAGGAGAAAATTGATCAGTCCTTAATTTTTGTACTTGAGGAATAAAACCAGGCACATTCAGGAATGGGAAAGTGAGAAATCTTTTCTAAAGCATGATTTTAAGAATACAGAAGAGTTTGTCTTTCAGGGTGGTAAAATCATTAAAATGAGGCCAAGAAAAGCACTGGGAAATGGGGCATAAGATATGGCCATGTTGCGTGTTCCAGTCAGAGCTGTTATATTGTGAGACTTCCTTAATTTACACGTATAGTGTAATCTGGGGTCCTGGAAATAGTCCAAAGAGGTGTAAATAGCCCCATGAGGCCTTTGGGACCTAATGTATTCCATAACTAACTCGTTTGGAGTCCACACTAATTGTGGAAGCTGGGTCTGT